CAGAAAGTTATACGGAAGGAAAATGAAAACATTGGCAAGGATATTCCAGATTTAATTGGAAAGGCATTATCGAGAGAAGCTTTTTAGCCATATGAAATATATAGGCTTTATATTTATACAATATATATATATATATATCAATTAGTTAAGGAACCAAAGCAGTGGTGTCAAACAGATGTTTTAACTAAAAATAGTTGACACGGTTATGTCCCTTAAAGACTTTACTTTGAAGACTTTGCTTTGAAGATATGTTCAAAAATGCATGGCCAGGAGTTCATCCAGTAAACAGGTTTTTGTACTCCTAATACCTGAAGTTCTGTTTTACTTGACAAATCTTATCCATCTGGGATTTGAATGGTGATAAAAAAATTTTGCCTGTTTTTAACGGAATAAGAACTGATTGTGAAGAAATTTTTGGCGTTGTGTTAAATTTGAAGAAGTGTTTTTACTCATTATTTATTATTTTGGTGAACTGGACGGTAAAACATTAGGCTTTCACAACATGCCCGTGGAATGTTGTTGATAAAACCGTCCTGTCAGACCAAGCTACTTGATCCCATACACGTTCCATGATCACGTGAATGTACTCCGTTTATCCAGTTGGTGGAGGTTACTGAGATTAACTGAAACTTTATAGGAACAGAATAGTACGTAGGTATTATTTTTTACTGCATCATCGTAGGGTATTCCTAATCAATACCTCCCATAGATATCTTTCCTAAAATGAAGCATCTCTACCGTTGAGTTGCTAAGCAGGAGCCAAAGGAAGAGAACATTTGGTTGTTGGTCTGTTCGCCAAGCTTGGCAGTTGGACTGCAAACGTTTAATCACCAATCGAGGTGACATCGTCAGTGCAGGGTTGAGTGGGTCAACTCAACCCTTGACTGACGATGTCACCTCGATTGGTGATTAAACGTTTGCAGTCCAACTGCCAAGCTTGGCGAACAGACCAACAACCAAACAGCGCACCCGTGCTACCTACATTCCACAACATTGAAAAAAACATTTCCAATTTCACAGATCGTGTGTTTACCCCATAGTTGAGGCACTTCGATGAAAACGCACTACGTACTTTGCCCGGACTCGTTAGATGGAGAAGGCTTTGTTACCTGCGCAGTCGGAGAATTAACATGCAACATTATTCAGTAGGTTTAATTTGACTTAATTATACTAGGCCACTAATCTACTATTACTTCTAGAGTGATTCGGAACAGGTTATATTTGTAATAAAAAAGAATAGAGCAAATCAATGCGGAGTGATTTACTGTTCAACACCATTAACAGTAAACGGCTCAATGCTTCCTGTTGAAGCGAAGACACCGGTGATTCCCGGTGACATCAGTGATCTGGCTCGGCAGCAAATATGCACTATCGCCGTGCTGCACAAGTAGATTCAAATCTGGTGCATGCGAACTTAGTAATTATCTAGAGCATTCAATCGAAACGAAGTGGGATCTCCTATCTGCGTTTTGCCTAAATTGTTTGAAAGCGCTTGATTGTAAATAATTATCTCTCGATGTAACACCACTTAGTTCAAATGAGAGTCCCTGCATAGCATCCAAATAATTTCCCCTTATCTGGGACAACAAACGGAAGATCTTGACAAAGAAGATTTGGCCGTTTTGCAGCAAACTTAATGAAAAAACTTCATGAACAGAGCAGTCTACTGAGTTTCTCTTTATGTTGATTATATTTTCAAGTAAATATATTTCTCGAATAAGTTTATCATCACCCCTTCAAAAACCACTTCCTTTTTGAAAAAATTTCGTGAGTTTCCACAAGAAGCTCTTATATTGCAAGCTGATTACCTGTTTTTTGATGGATTTACCTCTAGTTGGATGCTTTTGAAAGATTACAGCGGAATGCCCGACTCTCCAAATTTTAAAGTTGGCTTGATTTTCTACTTTCTTTTTATGTTTGGGTCAGGTTAAAACGGGAGAACTGGAAGCTGTTTGAGTCACTTATTTGGTAGATGCGCCCTAGCCACTCCAGATATCTGGTAGCGGCACCTTCAGCACTGTAGAAATAAGCAATGGGTTATGTTACAACACAAGTATTGACGAATAAAAAGGTTGTTGATAAACTTTTAAACTATTTGTTTACCCCTGGGCAGCAAGTGAAAAATTTTGAGACACTTGTAAACGGACATCATGACTTTACCTTATTCTTAGCCCACAAGTATAACGACACGTCTCCTGTTATTAACTGATTTAGAAAGCAAGTGCCTTGGAAAACCTCCATTCTAGTTGTGTTGCCTACTATGGCATAAGTTATATTCAGCTATGCTTCTAAAGTTCCTATGTTTCTAAAATATTGTTCGAAGCCACATAAATCGATCGCATAACAGAACACTTACTTATACTCTACATTCACAAGCTTCCTAACAAAATATATCTATGGTTCCAGAGCTTTTCTAAATACGCAGCCAGTTTTCGTGTCTCGGGGATGCGTCTACGTTAACTCAGTTTTGTTTTGATAATCACAAAAGATGAATGCAATGAAAAAACAGCTAAATCTGTGGAAGGTTTTGACGTTCGTTAAATTGAGTGCTAGTCATAAATTTGGTTGTATGTTGTCCATTAAATACTCTTTGCTCTTTGTCCCTGCCTACTGCAGCCGACGTTTGCGAATCGCTGTCTGGGTCGGAGAATTATTTACTTTGCATCTGGAAAATATGCCTACCTATTGAGCTGAAAACAGAGCGCAACTTACGGTGGCCGCTTGTGTATTTTGATCAGGCATCCATACCACTTCCAAAAAGCTATCAATGTGGCCGCAGAATCTGCAATATCCGACAGATGTATCGGATCCGTCGTGGATGGAACGTAGGCAGATGTCAAATAAGAAGTTTATTAATTGTATTTTCAAAGTGAGTCCTATATGCCGGTAGGATGCGTAAACTTTTGGCTCCGAAAGTCATTGTGGCCGGTAGCAGACAGACGTGAAGTACAGTAGAATTTCTTTTTTTTGCGTTGATAATCAGGAAAAATCATCCCAAAATGAGTCTTTAAAAGATATGAAGATAGCTTACTCCAACTGAGTATTTCATTCTTCTGCAACGTAGCAACGAGGAGGTCAACCAACACCACAGATACCCCACAATTAGATAAGATGTCATGCCACTACACTTCCAAGCTCACACATTGCACTTTTCGAAGCTGATCGGTTGTGGAGTCAATTCGCATGCGCAGAGGATGTCTTGTCACTCACATTGAACGGCACAAAGTTATTCGTTAGCTCCTCGAGTATACAGTTCTGTGGATATATTCTACAGTATTTGGATTGGTTCGTTCATTTTTCGTCTTTAAGCTTAAAGAGATTTGATTCCTTTTTTAGTCATTTTGCTCGTCCCGGTAATATGGCAATCTACCAAAAGTAAAACTGGGTCCATAATAACAATATATTTATGTATTGTGAACCGTTCTACTCGCCTGATCCCTACTTTGCTGCTATGCGTATTTTCCAGTGCACACGTGGAACGCATTATCGATACAGAACGTTTCTGTATCAACTTTTACCTCGGTATTTGACTTAGATGTAACTTATTCCCTTTTATCTGATTTTGTTTAAAACGGAAATATTATTCATTAGCTTCAGCACCTTAACAAGTACCTAGTCCTTCTAATCTTCCTTATTCTTCGAATTTGGTTTCAAGGTAGTGGAATTTCATTGTTAGAATTACTGGGGCATCGTCATCTGAATTACATACGCCTCCAAAAATGCTTTGAATTTCAGTGCGCAATACTCATAAATGGTCACATGATACAGATCTCAATTTTTCTTCTATTGTCCGAATGTATGATGTGCCACAACCACAGTATTCTTTGAAATTACTACTCGCGAAGAATTCTGCCACTGATTTAAGCCAAAATTTTTATAATAACTGTTTAGCGGTTTCAGACAGAATATTTATTACCACCACGTTATTAGTAATGCATGAAGTAGTATATGTCTTTGCTAGTAGGAAAAGAAAGAAGACATTGTCTGACTGCCTGTCTACACATCTCACTTATCATCCGACCACTCGGTTGTCATATCGCCTGCAGCGTTGATGACAAACGAAACACGTTGTCATAATGATGATTGTTTTGCCTCCACATTTCAGGTACCTTTTGAATCTATTATCGTTCATTTGAACAGCACGGTCACAGACATAAAAAGCGAATGCAAGCGATGAAGTGAAAGTGTTACAGGAGGATATGAGATAAAAGGAAGAAACGTCTCATTCCACGTCATGTCATAAGATGAAACCCAACGTATGTAAGAATTTTTGGCATGGAAACAGTCGTGTAAATACCAACACCCGAAGAAAGGTTAAACGATGCTGAGTGCTCTTCAAGGCGCGGTAAGCGCTAGCACAATCAAGACTTGCACATCATGAATAATGTGTTCATCATACTAGGTGTGGTGTGGGATTAAATGGCAAAAATGTACATTCAACAATGCAAGCGATGAAGTGAAAGTGTTACAGGAGGATATGAGATAAAAGGAAGAAACGTCTCATTCCACGTCATGCCATCAACAATTCCGGTCATAAGATGAAACCCAACGTATGTAAGAATTTTTGGCATGGAAACAGTCGTGTAAATACCAACACCCGAAGAAAGGTTAAACGATGCTCAGTGCTCTTCAAGGCGCGGTAAGCGCTAGCACAATCAAGACTTGCACATCATGCATAATGTGTTCATCATACTAGGTGTGGTGTGGGATTAAATGGCAAAAATGTACATTCAACAGCATGTGCAACGCATAGAAGTGTCGCAAGTACGCATAGAGCCCACAGTGGGAAGCAATCACAAGTCAGTGACTGTGATCTTGGGAAGTCCCAGTCCAGCAACAGCCCTGGCGGATTGAGGAAATCAGATTCCCCGATAAGGGATGATCGTCGGTTGGTGGACAAAAAAGTCGACATCACAACCAATTGCACGTAGGGCTGAGGTTATTGCGAGCGAATATTCATCAGCGCCATGCTTCTGATTCTTCTTATTCTACACACTTACTCCACGGCCGTAGGAGGTTATGTTGACGTCTGTTGCAGTTGCTCGGCGCTCCCGAGCAGCGATTAGGTCAGGTTTGATTAAGGACGTTGAAGTATCTGCCCTCGTCTCCTCGAAGACGGTGTACCCCAGTCGACGGAAACGTTTTACGAGTTTCCTTGCAACCCAATTATGACGAGCAAATCTAGCGTCATGTGTGATCCAGCAGGACTGCAAAATACGCACCAAACTCTCCGGTTGGCCACAGTTTCCACGACATAAGATCAACTGGCCATAATGACTATTTCGAGGGCTTCCAACTCTCATCCTGATCAAGTTGCATCGGAGCTGGATACCACCGATTATTATCCGAGGAAACATCCGTTCTGGAAATGCAATCCATCGATTAGAAAAAGGCGAAGCGACCGATTCTTGTAAGCCGCGACCGTCAACACTGCTGGGCAGACTGTCACCCCGAATGGCCACCAGCTCTTCCTTGGTGTTTACGCATGCACCATGGACTCGCATCGAAAGGGTGAAATCCCTAACAATCTTGCCAAATACGGAATCATTGACCACATTGTATAGTACTCGGCGCTGAGTAGAAAGGAGAATTTCCATACGCGCTCTCCCCTGCATCAGGATTGTTGCAATCAGACTTGGGATACCAAGTGACCCATGTTACTTACTGGCTTGGATGCAGCTGATCGAAGTGTCCTTCGGTAGACATATCCAGAAACAAATAGATTGCCTGATTTAGTTGTCCGACCTGTTGAGTGTATTTTGGTGGACTTGGCCAAGCACGAGCGAACATGTCAGTCTCGGTATTAGGTCGTTCCTCGTTATCGCCATTATTTGATGCGGCTTTAACAAGGCACGTGTCACCTTATCGAGCTGTTTGAGCAGATGCTGTCGGTGATTTAATGCCCCTTTCTCCTTGAAAGTAAAGAGGATGCCCAAATATGTTACGCTCTCTGTCAGACCCAAAGGGGTGATGAGTTATTCGGCGAAGCAAAATGATTCGACTGAAACTGCTGTCACCGTGTCTCCACATATCACAGTCGCTTTCGTTCTTTGGGCGTTTATCTTCATACCAACTCTTCCCAACTCGATCGCAACAGCTTTAAACTTCTATTTAGGGTGAGCCCGACTTTCTGCACACACGACCCAGTCGTCAGCAAAGACATAACTGGCATCCCACTTGCAGCATCGACAATTCAAGGACCTTTTAAATATCCTTTACCATTTGCGTAAGCGTTTCTTCCTCATGTCTCCTTCTGCCTACCCGTCAGAAAATCCAGCACTCTTAATTGGCCGGTTTCATGTTGACTCTTTTTTCACACTTTTGAACGGTGTGTTATTACGTTTCCTATTATTTTAGGAGTGTTTTCTACGGAACTCTTTGTTTCTTAAGAAACTTTATCGTTATTCTCTTTCGGCACTTTTCTGAGAATACTCATTGCCCTATGCTCAGGCCCCTTTATGCTACTAGACCTGAGAGCATCCCAGAGAATTCATGCTTGCATGGCATCAAGGTGCTTCTTCTAACTGCAAGAAAAATTGTTTGCTTGGTTGGCATAGTCAGTGGCAACAACGACCAATCTGTCTGAACAAAATTGCAGAAGGGGGTATTTGCGGGATCTAAGCTTTCATTTAACCCGATATTTCACAGACAGCACAAGAGGGCTGAAACGATGTACTGTCAATTCCCCTAATTAGACTCCCAGTAATAATCAAATTATTGTTATTTTCCATTTGCATGAGTGACCAGCTGCATTCATTGCTAAGTACTCAGCATCAACATCCCGTTTGCACTTATGGGCAAGAATCCTATCAGAACATGGTAATCTTCTGCGAAAAAAGTGAATTCTCCCCAAAGTTATACAGAGCCCCAGCTTGGATGTACATCTTATCCTTGATTGTCCAGGCGACATATCATTTTTAGCCACACTTACGCTTACACGACTTTATTCATCAAAAGACAACTGCCATTCAGTTATAAAATATAACTCCTTCTCATGACGTATTGTGGAGACCGCAGCTTTTAAACTACTGCAACACAACCTTGTCTTGTCAAAAATATCCCTTTTCAGTTACACTTTTATCAGCGTCTTTCAACTCTTGTCACTGGAATCAGCTCTACGCTTCCTATCATGTTTGTTTTTGTTTAGATTTTGCGAATTTCCCGAAGTATCAATAATAGACAGGCAAGATGTCCGAAATTTGAGTGCGTTTCTAAATCTTGTGCAAATACAAACCATGAGACAAAATTTCGTCTGTTTGACTAAACATCGCATGATGTTTACACTAAAACAGGTCCATATTGCCTCAAGCAGTATCGAAAGCGGAGGATTCACCGTGTTTTCGAATTTTTCTCGCTTTCAATTAGCCCGTGTAACTCGTCTTACGTGATCGCTTACGGAATAAAGACATGACAGACTAAGATGTAAAGAGGCTATATTATTTACTTCTCTGAAGATCGGTGGTACAGATTTGTCCGGGTGGGCATGTGGAAGTTGTCTGTGGTTATCTTCGCCCTTGTCACTGAGGTCGTTTGAAACTCGAAGATTATGCTGTAGTTAGATGGGGTGAGCTTCATTCGTCCGTTCTTTGCAGACTTTCAGAAGCCTCATTTTCAAACCATTTTAGGTATAAAAGTTATCCGATTACATAGAACGGAAATAACTTATTGGAAGACGCAACCAGAGTACAAACGCAAATCAAACTTCTGTCTCATGAACAAAACTACCTCAGCCAATGGTAATAAATAAAGCTGAATTTATGCAAAATAGCTCGGCAAGTCATTCAGCCTGGTCGAATACGAAATAGGATGGATCGTTGAGGCGCTGAATTAAATGTATAAAATCCATATAAACGAAATGAAACATTCACGATATTTTATGTAAAAACTGGGAAACTAGTTGTGAAGTGCATGCAGCGATAATGTACTGCACACCAGCACAGCTCCAAAAAAACATGGCTATCAGTTTCACACAAATGCAAACCTTGAACTTTGTACCGTTTGCCAAAACCCATGGGAATGAAACAATTTACGGCAGTGGTGTAGGGTAAAATGATGCGTGGTTTGTGTTGAAACTAATTGTATTACCAAAAACCTTATCATACTAAAAATTATCTGCCCTTGAGTTGATAGTGCGGACATCCCTTTCGAAAATGCTCTCAACAAGGGGATGTTTCAGGTCAAGAGCTTCAGCTACATTTGTAGATGAAGACATACAGTGTGCAACCCTGCCTCCTCCTTTTTGATTTCGGAAGGTGCTGAATGACAACCGTCTGGTGTCTCATCTGGTAATTCATGCTTTCACATAATACTTTGTCAGTCTCGGTTGCTTCTTTGTTCTGTTCGTTGACACAGTTTCCTTTATTCATTTCCTTCCAGACAGTCCATTGGTACTTTTTACTTTGCTTGTCAGCAGCCCTAAAAGCGGCTCGAATCCTGGGCCGGCTGCTCGCATCTTTTTCGGAGCCCCATTGAATACTGTCTGAATGTTGATCTGGTGCATTACATTGAACAACTGAACTAACATTTGTCTGTCCGTAGTGTCTCGCCCTCCCTCGAGAACGACATTCAAAGTTGTAAGGACTTAATTTGATATGGATTTCTTTGACGTGCCAAAGTGATAGTAATTGGGAGAGAAGGTATGCTACGCAAGCTGTGCTTCATACGTCTTCGGATAATAGAACGAAAAGTAAAGAATATCGTAATTTGGTCGTTTTTTAAAGTGGTTTTGGAGGTCATACTAAGCTTATAGCCCGGGATTTTAGCTACCGCTTTGATTCTAAGAGAATGACAATGGTATGATATTTTTCTACATAACACGCGTACAAGGACCTGGTTGCACTGATTTACCCAGCAACTAGTTTTGACTTACATCCACTGGCATTCCATCCGCTCAGGCAGGGCATGTTGTAAACAAGTCCCTTTCGACCTGTCATACAGACAGGCTTTGGCTTGGTTCTGAGTGGAATAAAGCCCTCAAAGTGTGAATTATATGGTCTATGTGGGTCTGCATCACAAGCTTCACTGGATAGGACAACTACAGATTCCATCAATAAGAAGTGGTTTTTGAACGAAGACATATAGAGTGCTGAGGAATTTCGGTAGCACATTAGCAGAATCAACACTGTCTTAAAACGAAGTAGTGCTATCTTCAACTAATTAAAACGATGCCTTTTAACTTTGAATGCAGATAGACATTTAAATAACACGATCAATCGGGCAGAAAATGCCGGACTTATTGCTGCATCAGTGTTATCTTGCTGCTATCAGCCTGCAAGACAATCAGGTAAAACTAAAGCTTATAGTGCAACATCAAATGCCTCCTTACAAGTGTCCTTAAAAGAAATCACTTGGCAAGCTAGCTAACGCCAACATATGGTGAGTGTGCCCCATATTCGATGCAAAATTATACCGTCATTTTTGGCTTGTCCCGGAGCAAAAATTTATTCATTTTAACACCGAAATATCAAAAACGCACTACATCAATATTATTGCCTAGTAAATATTTTCCCTGAATAAGGATGACAACGATACTTCTCAGAAACAATTCGGGACAATAACGAATGGTACTCTATTACCGTAGGACGTAGGATTCATAACACAAGGAGTGAAAACAATTCGTGAAAATACGTAAATGCTTTTTGTTCTATAAAACATCTGGGGATCACCCAAACTGGTAATGATCAGCCCAATTCAACCATGATTAGTGGACCCTAGATCAACCTATCTGCGCGCCCACAAGCCATCCCAATCCAAACGTAATTCCATCTTAACGCGCCAACGACGTGATCTCGCCTAACAATGAAACGTTTGCAACCACACTGTCCAGCCCAGCAGGTGAACCAACAGCTTTGTAGCTTTTTCATAAAGGAAACTACTCACAAGGTTGCTGAAAACTCTTCGACAGCCCAAGACCGGTTTCCCTCTTCTTGGAGCTCATCAGGTGGGCCGAGTTTCCGTCAACCTTATGTTCCAGCTCTTCAACATCGAAATCACTTGTGAGATTAATTCTCTATAGAACAAGTAGTCTACTTAGATCATGTAAACCATCAGCACCCTGGCAGGTGCTTTAAGGTGGTGGTAATGTAATCTATGGGCTGTAAAGCGAAAGCCATTAGTACCAGTTGAATATGATCACACTCCATTTGTTGACCATTGTGTGTGTTCGGAAATGCTTACCGAACACAGATTTCACAAAATGGCTGAATTAGTTTTAGGAGTCCATTTCAGGTGCACAAGACAGTTAAGGACCAGCCTACATGCGAATTTTTAAATGTATAAAAACGTATTGGGAAACAATGTCAGAAATCCAAGTGAACCATCCAAATGAACCATGCTTAATTAAATTAGTTTTGACAGGCCTTGGCAAACTGATACTTACTTCACAATAAAGCTCTAAACAGGGATCAGTATAAAAACGTTAGCTACCTGGTTGATAGCGGTCTTTTGCCAATAAATCACACGCAAATATCAGGTATTGGGTAAGTTACCGTTCTCAACATTACTTCAAGTAACCCATTGACAGTGAGGCCTGGTATGAATTGACAGACTCTACCTCACTCAATTCGCCAACAGCAATTCATACGATGTACCGCGTGCTGAAGTCTCCAAAACAAAGCTGCTTCCTGCTGATACAGAAAAATCAAAGACCATTCGAAGAAAGCTCCGTTAAATACGGGTTATCCTAGAGATCATTTACATAATTTATCATAAATCTCTGACAGTCGGCCGGGAAGTAGAGCCCATTTGGTTTTGCAAGACTACTGCAATTTATTCGATTTAATGCGAAAACCCATTAGTCAGGAATGTTGTCCAACAGAGAGCCTTGGATGAAATTGCGCCTTTACTGTATTACCGAAGATGTGATCTGTGTGGTCCAGATTGGAAGCTCTACATTGTTATTTTATTTAAATCACCGATAATGTTTGCTTCTGCTGGCTTGCACTCTTTCGGACGTTTGTTTTGTGCTCTAGCAAATGCTTGATTGTCCAAAAAATGATAATCCCGTAAAATTACTTGGGTTAATTTGCTTTCGCTTGAATCGCTCAACTTCAGGCAAACTTAAATTTCTCATCTGGTCTACATTATTACAGGCATTCGCAACGTGATTAGTTATGAAATTTGTCCCTTGTTTGTAGGACACGGTTTGTAGGATGCGAAACACAACTGGCTGATTGTACTTACCTGGTGCAAGATCAATTTGTTGTCAACGATAGCTGTACCGCGTCCAATCTCCACACCCGATATCCAAATACTGTTCGGTTTATGTCAACTTCAGCCAATAACAATATCAGGCACGTTCGCATGTGGCTATATTCTTGTCACCAGGAGAAATGTATATCGGGTAAACTATGTAACTGTACTATTGTGTTCTTCAAGGGAGATGTTGAGTAGGTTAATTAAAATAAAAGCAACCCCCAAGCAGCAGGGGTAAACTATTGCTCGCTCCTGGCAGAAGATGGTGACCATCCAGTTTTTAAGCAGCAGGGTAAACTATTGCTCGCTCTTGGCAGAAAATGGTGACCATCCAGTTTTTATTTTTAAATTCGGTGCCGAATTTAACCACACCTGTACAGAATAAAATTTGCCTGCGTAAGACTTTCATCTGGGTTGTAAAAAAATTTCCTAAACCCTGGCTTTCATGTGGGCCTGGCCGACAACTTGTGGTTGTGGTAAACATCATTCTTCTATCTATAATTTGTCCCAGTGTCCTGCATCAGTGAGCTGCGTAACGTTCCAAAACCAACCTTTGCCAAAAGTGTGACACAATTATCGTTCATTGGTTAACTGGAAAAGTGGGTCCGGAAAATTTCATGTGGTGCTTTGATAAATACCTTTAAATACGATAAGTCTACTTCGTTTCTGGCGGTTTATCACGCTTTCATTTTTGACGCAGTCGACATCAAAGTCAATGGAATAATTTTTTGCCCACGTATATTCAACAGCGCTGTCTAGCAGAATTAACAACCCTTTTAAAAATTGCAGAGTAGTATATCTTAAAGGAACATAAGCTTGGTATTTTATGGTGACAATTTTTCTAGAATTGTGTTAATGATTATTTTTCTGAGGTTCACTGAGGGTTGGTGACAATTACCATAACTAGGGTTGCGGGATTAGATGTAATAGTGCTGGTAGTAAGACTCTGAGCTACTGTGTTTTTGTTTTTTAGTAGATGATCATCCACTAGCCGATTGGATGACCGATACCCTTTGACTGGCTCGACGGTCAATGTTTAAATAACCCCTGAGCCTGGTTTCTCTGGTACGTATTCGGTAGCCACTTGTCACTGGACCCTTCTATCTGTCAGCCAGTTCCTTCGATTCGAAATCCTTGGTTGTCTTTAAGACTGCGTGGGTTGTAAGACTTGCGAAGGAGTACTGTAATTCCAGAAAAACCTCACTTGTTTCACACCACACAATACTAAATTTATCAAATTTCAAAGGTGTATATATGTTCTGCATTTTTCTTCTGAACGGAAAATTATGGATATTTTATCACGTTTACCAACAAATGAATTTCGCTCTTCATCATTATATGGAAACTTCACTCAGTTTCACCAAATAATATTTGTATCGGTCCCTGTATTCAGTTCGGTATAAAGATTGTTTTTTATCTTTTAGAGTTGTTCTCCGGACACATCCATAATCCGAGTTGAGATACTTTTTCGATTTCCAAAAAATCTCCTGCATATTATTCCATGGCGGCCCCCTTGGTAACACAGCAAAATGAAGAAAAGGCGTCTTTTGTTTTGATTGCATTCTGACATCATCTTCCCTATAAAAACCCAACGAAAATCAGCAACCATAAAAGCATTCTTC